CCGGGCTTCCTGGAATCAGCCGCTGATCAGTTTCAGCAGCAGCTGACTGGGGACGCTTGGAGTTCTTAAGTTGAATCTGTATGTAAGTCAGAACTGGCGGTCAGTTTCAGCAGCGGCTGAATCTGGACGCCAGTTCCGACTTACATACAGATTCAACTTAAGAACAAACCTACAGTCCCTATCTTGTACGTAACCCGGGGACTGCCTGTATATATTTTTTACTTTTCTCTTTTTGGTCTTAAATCTAGTGTGTTTCAAGTAATAAAAACTCCAAGGTTCATTTTGATATCCTTATATATTTTGAGGTAGACTTTTACACAAAAATTTTTTGCACTAGGTATTTACATTTGTAATTAAAAACAGCTGTTGTGTTTAAGGCAAGGGTCAAGTAATTGAGGTGATCGATCAATAGTTTGGTTGGTTAAAAGGAGGGAAGGTTAGTTAAAAGGACAAACAGTGTTGCCCATTAGTTTGTTTGGATTGATTTTGATCTCTACGCCTTCTACAGAACGTACTTGACTGAGTGTCACAAATGGTTGAGCTGGCACAAAGTACTGAGAGCCAAGGTTCACAATTGCTCTATCCACCGTGGTCCCTTGTAGTTTGTGGACAATGGCTGCATAAGCGTGGATGATTGGAAGCATTCACCGCACCACCAAGCAATATCCAAAATTCGCTTGAAATTGACGTGATTGGCTCGATGATGTGCTTTCTGATATCACCTTCGAATTCAATTTCAACTGTGGAGATATCGGTTTCATGAATTTGGTTGCGGCAGAAGTAGGGCCATATTATATTTTGCAATTTTGCCGTTGACCAAGCCTTTTGCTTGGTCAACATTGTACAGAAGCATAACTGTAGTGCCCAGATGTATTACAATTATTAGGCCCTACTGCCAAAAATTCAAACATCTATGCCTGTCATGTAAGCAACTAAGTACATACTCACCACCTATTAATTGGAAGCTTTTGGGAGTTGCTTAGCACCCACAAATTCAAATATTAAATGTTTCATCATCTTTGGAAAACCCTCTTTATTATTATATACATAAATGTGTCCAAGAAAGAGTATTACCTGTTCCACCTTGTCTCTCTCACTTTAATCTAAGTTTGAAAATTCCGGTCCAAATATTGATGGTGAAGAGCAAGTATTGAAAAATAAAACTCTTAGCTTGTGGCATTCCACATAAACGTTTCTAACATCTTAGTAATATACAACAGAGTAAACTCACCTCCCCTTTAAGTGTTGAAGTCTAGAATCTAGATCCCTGGCTCGCTCTTAGTGTGACATCTGAACTTCCTTTCTACTGCTGTACCACAGATTCACTCTAGAGTCTGCCCTACTTCAAATTTTCTAAAATGTTTCATATTTGTATATTATGAGACAAGGTTTTTTTAACTGCGGGAAATGGCATCATACTGAGAACATAACTTATTATAGTTAAAATACCCCACTTTATCTCTAAGCATGTGATTATTACTTTCAGTCTCCTACTCAAACTATGACACCTCTAAACTCCCTGTAAAGTGGGCAACTGTTATCCAAATTTACAACGGGGAAAACCAATACAAGTTTATATGCCAATACTATGTCAGAGCCAAATACCAGAAAAATCAGGAGAACCTGAATTGCAGTTCTGTGTTCACACCACTATGTCTCACTGTTCTAAGCCCGCTGAAAGCTTTGGTAAACAGACAAGCTGTTTAGTGTCAAACTGTCAGACTCAGATGGGAGGAAAAAAGTTCCAGACATGCAGTCACTCCCCACTGAGTAGTGTGTGCCTGCAGGCTGTATGCTAGAGGATCACAATTTATCTCAACTGCTAAGTTGTAATACAAGAAGAGGAGCAGAGTAGATAGAATTCAAATAATAGAGAGTGCTGTAGAGTAGCGCTCAAACGAATGCAATTTTCTATGGAAGTGTTTCGGTTTGCAGGGAGATCAGGATCCTCAAGTTCTCACTACAAATGATCCCCGAAACTGAAAGCAAAACCTTGACAAGCCAGCAATTCTCAAGCAGCCTTAACCTAACACCTCATCCCTTGGCTTAGGACTTTCACAGGTCTTAGCCCACTTCTGTGGGCACATTTTCTTTGATCCTTGCCATATCTAGGATGAAGGCAATACCAGCCAAGAGGGACAGACCAGAATATGGAATAAGAAACACATGTGCACAGCTGCCATTTACTCCCTTCCAGATCAACACTGCTCATTTAAAATGGACACATTTGCATTAAACAAAAATAAAAATCCAGCCTATAGTCAGATTGTTTCCTTTTATGAAAGACATGCCCCATATCTCAAAACACAGTTTTAAGTGGAACATCTGTCAGCTCAGCTACATGTTCACAATGCTCCTGGATTCTCTAGAGTCTGGCTAACAATAATGTAAAAGAGGCTGCCTTGTTCAGCTTGCCCTCCTCTTCCCCCACTGTTCTGGTTTAAGACTTCTCCTAACAAGTCAAAAGCTACTTACGTTTGAATAGCATCAAGCCCTGCCATCTTCATCTTCAACAGACGGTCTTTCCAATAGTATCGAGGCACACGGGAGTAATGAATGCTGCCCGAGATGTAGCGGAATGGTTTCCCATCCTTGAGGAAGTAGTTGTTATTATAATCGATCCCAAAACTCCTTGGGGATGCATTCTGTGAATCAAGATTATCAGATGTGAGCTTCAACCTCCATGAAAAGGACAATAGTTTTCTGTTAAAACACCCTGCTTACTAAACTCTTCAGTCCACTAGATCTCTGGCAAGTTCAGAAGCCCAACCGGTTGTGATGTCACCATTTTTGGACTGCTTGTCCCATTTGGTGCAATCTGATCCACTTCAAGTAGGCAAGATGTGCTCTTCTGTAGGACTAGACTTAAGATCTTTCAGTATTATTTCAAGAGACTGCGTCAGAGGCTGATAAACCATCCCATCCCTCTCCTCCATTTTGCAGCAGAATTTTAATATGAATCTCCCAAAAATTGCTCCCAACACATGCCAAATAAACCGAGCTAAGTAAGACCAAAAGAACCATAGCAGACATGTAGGCCAGGCAGTGATGGCAATAGTTGCTGCACTGAAGTGGTTTGGTTTTTCATTGCCTTACACCCTGGACTGTTTTACATCTGCTTGGTGCTTGGTACATCCCTACGCAGAAGAGCACTCCTGATGAGAAAGCAGCATTCACACTTGCCATGGCAAAACTTTCGTTGGGAGTAGAAGAGTTAAGCAGCCACGAACAACAACAGTTTTGTTAATCAACTGCAAGTGTAGACAAAGCCTATGTTATCTGAAGGGTTTAAGAGCTTAGTCTACTATATTTTTGAGAGAGTTTGTCAGTCTGTTCAAGAACTCCTCCTAAACAGAAAGAGCTGGGACCACCCCATTCAGCGTACAGCTTCCTCTTCATAATTTAAAGCAAGGGAAGGGTTTGGTTGGGCCAGGAAAATGGGATGTGCCTGGAATGGGATTGTTTCTCATAAAACCAAACAGAAAAGAGACAATCTCTAGGCAGGTAAAAGGGGCTGACTTGGGGCACCCGCCTCCCCCATCCAGGACTGCCCCAAGACTCCCACTCCCCATCCCCCAGATGCCCTTTAGAGGTATGAGGGGTATGTGTGGCTGAAGCTTTACCTCCTGCCCACCCCCGATTCATATGGAAACATTGCTGGCTGCTCCCCTTCGTCCGAGAGCGAGGGGGAAGCATACAATTTGCTGCATTCCTCACTCTGGCTGAGGACCCCACTGGGAAGACAAACCTGGACTTGCCACATCCGAGGGACATGGACCCTTGCCCTTGGCCCCAAGCTGCTGCAGTGACAGAGAGTAGGATAGTCCTCTCTCCCCCCCAGAGCAACCTGCATACTGAATCTCTCATCCTTATCCCCCACCCCAGAACAATGATTCAAATGAAGCATGCACATTTTCATTTTATTAAAAAAAAAAAAACCCAACCCAAAATTAATTGAGTTGAGGAGTCAAGTAACACCGGGTAAACCTTCTAGTTTCTAATAAGTGGAAGACTGTTTAGTAGCCAAGGCTCTTAAATCTCCATTAGTCTCTATATTTAAAAAAATAATCACTTTTCAGTACCGGTAAAGGAAGGAGAGTTATTCAGACACATGGGGGAAAAAAAGACTGCAAATTTCTGCCAAACAACATAAAAACAGCCATACTGGGTCAGACCAAAGGTCCATCTAGCCCAGTGTCCTGTCTGCCTATAGTGGCCAATATCACATGCCCCAGAGGAAGTGAACAGAGTAAGTAATCCTCACATGATCCCTCTCCTATCATCTATTTCTAGCCTCTGACAAACAGACGCTAAGGAGATATTATCTATGAAGTTAGAAATGTAAAGCAACATATATTGCAACCAAACCCCTACATTATAATCCAACACAATTAACAAATTCCCATCAGCTCTAAATGTAATATTGGACACTCCTATAGTTCCTTCCAGCTGAGGATCTCAAAGCAATTTACAATCAGCAAACTAAGGTTCAACACACCCTCGTATGTGTCCATTTGGCAGATGAAACAACTAGAGCAGAGCATTAAGGGCCAGATTCTGATACCTTAACTCCATAAATGTAGGTTCACTCTTCAAGTGCTTCCACTGACTTTAGCAAGGTGCAATCCAGCATCCAGAGTACTGGAATCTTGACTTGAAGTGACTTGGCAAAGACTGATTCCACAGGAAGTCATTGGCAGAGGCAGAAACAGAATCCAGATTATTCTTCAATCCTAGACTTATGATTTTAAAGGGCTGCTGCACTTTACATTTTGTAAAAATTGGGAGGAAAGGGGGGGAGGAATCAATTAAAAAGTATTTTTAAAATCATGAACCCTTCTGCATTGAGAATCTGAAAGAGAAACTGGCTTCATGCACAAGAATGAAAGTAAAATCAGCATCATTCTCCAAGCAGAAAGAGTAATAAACTGACCAATGAACTGGATTTTTATAATTGTAACATTTAATAATCTAAACTGTTATTAGTACCAAGATAACAGTAATATGTTGAAGATACATATTTGTAAGTTAACAGTACACTTTAACCATTACATAGAAGCCTTCTTGTTCCCACATACTCCTAGTTCCTGCTTTCAACCAGATGTTTTGCATGACGGTATTGTTTTTAAGTCACTCACCCTCAAGCACGACCTTTGCACATTTCCACATATGCACACAAAATCATCTTCAGCTAGCATCAGGTGGTAGGTCAGAAGTCAAAACACAAACTGAAAAAATAAGCAGCATACTTGTCTAAATGAAACAGACCTTCTAAATTGGGTGAATTCAATACAGGTCAGAGGTGCCAGCCTACTTTAAATTCTAGATGGGTGAACCTAAGTCAATGTAAGACAAAACACTCGTACCTTCAACTGAGAGAGGGGCCAAAGACCCTAGTAAATAGATTAGAAAAAAAACAAATGTTAGAACAGGAAAGCTGGGGGAGATTAAAAACCAATGATACTGGATGAGGGCACCCAGTTGCAAACTCTTAACCCCAACAAATAGTCCACAAAGGGATCAGTGGAGACCACCCAGAGGAATTCAGCCCAAGTGTGTGACACAATTAAGGAACAGAAGTAGGTTCCACAGCCAGAGAATACATCCCTACTGAACTTCTACCTCCCAGACTGATGGATGGCCATCCCAACCAAGGCCAGAAGAAGGTAAATGAAGGATCACACAACTACAGAGGAGGAATCCATAAAAGAAAAGATTTGGGGAAAGTACAACCAGCACCTCAGCTGAAGGATCTGCAGGAGGTAGAAAAAGGGTCTGTTGCAGTGGAAGTAGGCATGTGCGAAAGTTGCCCCTACAACACAAAACAGGATGTGCGCCAGTCAAAACCACAGCTTCACATGTGGAGGAAACCAAAAGCATTGGTGTGGATACCCAATAAATTCTTAACTTTAGTAGGCTTGAGGGAAGACTGAAAGAACTGGGCTTGTTTATTTTAGAGAAGAAAAGACTGAAGGGGGGACATGATGGCACTTTTCAAGCATCTAAAAGGGTGTCACAAGGAGAAGGGAGAAAAATTGTTCTCCTCAGCCTCTGATGATAGGACAAGAAGCAATGGGCTTAAACTGCAGCAAGGGAGGTTTAGGCTGAACAACAGGAAAAACTTCCTAACTGACAAGGTGGTTAAACACTGGAATGAATTGTCTAAGGAGGTTGTGGAATCTCCATCACTGGAGATATTTAAGAGCAGGTTGGACAGACATGTATCAGGGATGGTCTAGATCAGCAGTTCTCAAACTTTTTGGGCTCTGGAGCCCTTTACACATGTGTAAACATTTATGCGGAACCCCAGAGGTCCACTGATTGTATGTGTTGTACCTACTGATGTTTCCAGATTGTCAACCTCACAGAGCCCCTGGAGCTCCATGGAGCACAGTTTAAGAAACACTGGTCTAGATGGTGCTTGGTCCTGCCGTGAGGGCAGGGGACTGGACTCGATGATCTCTCGAGGTCCCTTCCAGTTCTAGTGTTCTATGATTTTCCAAAAGTTACTTCTATCTCCTTCCTATTGGCATTTGGCTTCAGGGTTCCCCAACAAGCAAACCCTCTCCAATCAAGCAGTACCAATTCCTTTTTTACTGTAGTTTATGTTTTAATATTCTCCACTGCACCTATCAGGACATGAAGGACCATAGTATAAACACTCAAAGTATATCTTGAGAGAAAGCTGTATCCAGAACTGAAGGAAATGAGAAGGAAAAAGAGAGTTGGAGGGTGGGGGGAAATGAAATCTGGTTTGCTGGGGGTAGGGGAAGGAAGAAAATTAGTTAAAAAGGTGCACTCAATAGGCAGGAATAACCTGGAAACTCAGAGTGTTGAGGGATTATGGTATGGGAGCATGAGAAAAAGAAGCCTAAGGACTGGCTTTGCCCTGCTCCCCCACTATTTGGCAGGTACTTTGGAAACTCTACATGTCACTATTTAGAAAACAACCAACCTTCTAGGAGCCCAAGGTCTATACAGAAGGTAGAACAGCTCATTAAATGGGTATGTTATGCAACATGACAGCAAAGAGAACTAATGCAATTTTAAAACGGCCACACAAACAGCATGTCATAGACCAAAAAGGTAACAATCAGCACGGCTCTGGTATGATAGTCCCTGGAATAGGTTAGAGGAACACTACTAGAAGAGGAAAGAGCCTATTCACATAAAGTTACCATGGGGTGGGAACTTACAGTGCAACAGCTCTGATCGGTTGAACCACAGGTTCAAAACTCCCTTCCCTTATTCCCATGAATGTTTAAAAAAAAAAAAGAACACACGCCCTTCAGCTTTGGCGTACCTCTGCATAGCACTTCTCTCCAGTCCCCGCCATAGTGAGTATGGCTTGATGCGGGGTGGAGGCAGGAGAGAGGGGTAGGAAATGTTGTGTCACAGGAAGTTATATAATTTTGGTCCCTGTTCCCTGAGTAGCAGCATAGGGCACTGAGCTCCAACACTATTTTCCACAGGCAATGATGATTTAAGTTGATGTCTCACTCTGGAGGATATCAGAGGCACAGACAATACAGCTGCTACTGGCTTCCTGAAGCCACACAGACCCATATTGCCAACCAAAGTCATGAGGCATAGGGAAGAAATAAGGCTGCCATCCCTAGCAATCACTGAGGAAGGACTGCAGAGT